GAGAGGTGGCGCCTTCGGTATAGGCGTCCTCGAGGGGTACGGCTTAAGAAACAACACTTGGTGTTTGTTCCGATGTACGGCCCCCGACACTTGGTACCGAGGGGTCTTCTGTAAAAATAGTTGGTGTTTTTTCTTCACTTGTCGTAGGGGACTGTGGTGTCTACCCTCGGTACTTGGTACCGAGGGGTCTTCTGTGGGAACACTTGGTGTTTCTTCCCACTTGTTGGAGGTGATTGTGTCGTCTACCCTCGGTACTTGGTACCGAGGGGTCTTCTATGGAAACACTTGGTGTTTCTCCCCGATTGTTGAAGGGGATTGTGTTATCTACCCTCGGTACTTGGTACCGAAGGGTCTTCTGTGGAAACACTTGGTGTTTCTTCTCATTTGTTGAAAGCTGCTAGTGGCGTGTCCCCTCGGCACCAGGTGCCGAGGGGTTTCTTTTTGGGGACAGGTGGTGCTTTGTCGCCGGAGGGGGCAGAATCCTTGGGATGATTGCGGGGAGCCCCCGGCCCCCGGTTACCTTTGTCGTCTGGCCGAGGGCGTTGCTGATCTGGGACATGGTGGCATTTCTCCACCTCCTCGGCCTCGGCGTACCGGTCCCCCCGCTGTAGGGCCCTTATATAATCGCGGGGGGGGGGGGGGGGGGTGTTCGATGATGAGGCTCCTTGAGAAGTTCCCGGGGCGGAGTACTGTTTGTAGGAGGGCCAGGAGGGTCCCGTCATCAGCACCATCAACTTTATCAGCCTCCGTCCTCCAGCGCTCCAGGAAGTCCCGAAGGGTCTCCTCCTTCTTCTGCCTCACTGTTAGTAAGTGGGAGAAGTGTTTTCTTGTGCGGCGCCTCCCCGCAAATTGCGTCAAGAATCGTTGGGCGAGTTCTTGCCATGAGTCAATGCAGCCCTCGGGCAATCGGTTGAACCATTCGTAAGCCGGCCTCTCTAAGGTGGAGAGGAACCAGCGGCACAAATATTCATCCGATGCCCCCACCATCATCGTGCTGTTTTGATACCTGCTGTAGTGCTCTTGGGTGTCAGTCTTTCCGTCATAGGGCTTGATGAGCTGCCCTCGGTATTTTTCCGGGATCCGGGCCGCCAATACCCTTGGGGTAAATGGCGTCCGGGTCCGGAGCTATATGGTGGGTTCCCCGGAGCCCTCGGCTATCTTCTTCTGCATTTCTTCCATCTTGGCCATCATCGCCTCATACTTAAGGTCTGTATGGGGGCAGAAGTGGTGGCATGGGCTTTGGTGGCCTCCATCTCGTTAAGCCGGCGCTGGAGGGCCGCAATGATTTCGTCCCGGGGGTCCTTCGGTAGGGCCTCCGCCCCCTGCAAATGGACCCGGGCCGAGTGGGCCTGGTTGATTTGGTGGCGTGCATCGTCGGCATGGAGAGGTGCCTTGCCCTTGTCCTGAGGGGGACGCCTTTCATTGGCCCTGGAGACGGACCCACAACTTTCCTGAGGCCTTTGGAACGCCTTCCCCTCGAGGCGGTCTTGGACCCCTCGGCTGTCTTGCGCCCCTCCGAGTCTCTCGAGGGCGGAGGTCCGGAGTTGTTCCTTGTTCACGTTGTGGCGGTCACGGGACTGGACTTCCTGGGAGGCCGTATCTTGGGCCACGACCCCCTCGGAGTTCCCCATTCGGAGGACCGGGTTGCCGAGGGGTCGTGGGTGAGGGGGAGGCATAATATTCTCCCCCACCTGGGGTTGGAGGGGAACCAAAGTGCCGAAGGCACCCGGGTTCTGGGTGAGCGTCTGGATGAAGGCGGAGAGCGCCGATTGTACGTCTATGGTGATGACCGGAGGGCTAATTTGATTTTTGTTCCGGTCCTTTTTCTTGGCCTCGATGCTGAGGCGGGCATCGGGGGCGTTTTGTTGAATCTGCTGGCGTAGGTCGACAGCCGTCTGGTCCAACCCGGCGATGACACCGCCCCTGGGAGCCCTGTTGGAGGCTTCGGGGACGTCGACCTCGCCGAGGGCCAGGTTCCTGTCGTCTACATTCTTGGAGTTGGCACGAGTTGTTCTCACCATTTTAGATGGGTGTTTTTGTGTTTGGTCGAGGGGGGGAGTTTCTTACTTGATTGTTCGACCTCTCAACGAGAGCACCAAATGATGGATAATGTACCCGGGGGGTAGCTTATCCGAGGGGTTGTTACGGGGAATAACAAGAGAGAGGTCACAGCGAGTAAGTATAGAGAGAGAAAGTATATTAGCAAGTGTTCAGTGTTTTCAGCGTGTGTATTGTGACTTGGTTACAAATGGGGAAATGAGGTGCTATTTATAGTAGCAATAAATGCCGGACAGGGACACGTGTCAAGCGTCCATTGGCCGAGAGGTCACCTCAACTGGTTGGCGCTGGCAAACGCATGTGGCCGCATTTAATGCGGCTGTTGGATGGGACGTTGTACAGGGTACGGTGATCCATACGCATGTGGAGCGGATATTGTGTCGGAAAAGGTGCCCTCGGCAGTAGATGACTAGCCGAGGGCTCTGAGTACCGGGGACCCCTTAGTGCCGAGGGCTCCAACTGACGAGGGCTACTGATTTTTGCCGTTTTTCCCAGTAACCTTGTTTTCCTGTCTTGGCCCTCCTGTGAGAGTTAGAGCCTTCAGCCAGGGGGCCGAAGGTACCCACTGGTGCGCATTTGTGGGCTGCTTGGTATTCTGGGCGCGGTGATTTAGGCCTGTTGTGCTTCTTGGGCCTGTTGGGCCTTCATTGGAGTAGTAGGAGTCTGTGGGCCGGGGTTCCCGGGCCATATACTCCATCACTTCATTTACTCATATCAATAGTATTTTCATTAAGCATTATTACTCATTAATAATCCATGAAAATCACTTTTAATACCTTAGGTAATCTTATGAAATTAACTCACTAATTATAAGCAATATAGTTAGTCATCCTCACCTTATAGAGTGCTTGACTAGTTGTCTTTGCAAAGCCCTTCGACCCGTCCTCGTTCTAGGCCGTTTGAATCACAAAAACTGGACTGATGGACAAAAGCCGGGCGGCTTTCACGAAAGCCGGGCGGCTTTCACGAAAGCCGGGCGGCTTTCACGAAAGCCGGGCGGCTTTCACGAAAGCCGGGCGGCTTTCACGAAAGCCGGGCGGCTTTCACGAAAGCCGGGCGGCTTTCGTAGTCTGCAACTACGAACAGCTCCTTTGGAGTGGCGGTTTCCTATGATTTCGACTCCTATCGATTTGCCAACCCTTCTAAGTTAATTACCACCACTTTATATCAATATTCCACACTTTTTAAACGTGTAAAACCCAAGGTTTAATCCACCATATGATTTCTTAAAAATCATATACAAAGAACTAGTTAAAGAATACTAGTTGAATTCTTACCTTGTGTTCTTGCTAATTTCCTTTGGATTTGCTCCCTTCTTGCTTTCTCCTAGCTAGAGCTTTGTGAGGATAAGTCTTAGAGCTCCCCCTCCTCTCAAATCACCCGTAGGATGCAAAATGATAGAGGAAGTCTCCTCACAACCACTTGCTCACAATAATAGGAAGGGTAGGGTCATTTGAGAAGCTTACACATGCCTTCAACTTCTCCCTCACCCATATGTCTGCTCATTCATTTTAAGTTGTCCAAATCCTACTATTTGGAGTCTACAAGACATGTAGGAAAATCCCCAAATGGGTATAGGAAGTCTCTCCCAATTATTCCCGCTATTTCTGGCAGGTTGGGTCAAAATAGCAATTGTTTGTCCAAACGTTTTTCCCAACCTTAGTTGGCATTTTATTGGGCTTCTATAATTATTATAATGACCCCACTAAATATTTGGTAGTCCATTCTCAATATTATGGACCCGGCAAATAATTTAAATTAATCATTCATTAATTAAATATATCATTCTTTTACACGAAATCATTCGCTAGAAAAATTCAAATACATACTGAATTTCAAATTCAAGTACATCCGGGTGCGGTGTCACACTAGCAACACGACTTTCCAACGTGTATATGACCATGTTTTAAGAGTGAGATCATTTCCATCACCATCTTTAAGGTACATCTTGAGAACCTCCCATCACTTGGTTGAACCTAAATTCAAAGATATTTAATCATAAAAAGAGTTTTGTTAAAGTTAATTAGTAATAAAATAAAAGTAATAAAAACTATTGAAATGAAGATAATAAATTATGAACATACCTGAAAATAATTTATAGATGCCACACCAAAAAATGTTTTTTCTTGTGCAAAACTCATAGTCATATCACAAAGGGTGAGGTTTAGAGAATGACAATCACAAGGAGTATAAAATGCTCTAGGATATTCTTGTAACACCCTAGCTTGTACCCCTTTGTTATCTCCCTTCATGTTCGAACCATTGTTGTAACCTTGTCCCCTTACTTTATTAAAATCAAGTTCATGAGTGTCAAGCAACTTTTTAACCACGATTATTGAGACAACTTCACCAGTTAAAGTGAAGTTATTGAGACAACTTCACCAGTTGTCTCAATGACTTTAACAAATGTGATGAAAAACTCATCAACTCTTATAGGGCTTGTAGATACATCTATACATCGAATCACAAGTGTCATTTGCTCATCATGACTAATCCCGTGCGGACAACACCATCAGAGGGTCTTCTTGGTGGAATTTTTTAATAAAATATTTTGAGCATGTTCTTCATCAAGCTTAGTTTATAAATACCAAATTTCAGCTCAAAATTCAATCGGGAAGGCAGTTAAACAAATTCTTGAAGCATATTGTGTTTTATATATGTACAAAATGTTCTGTAAGAGAAGAACTGCCACTTGAAGTGACGGCTTGTGTACCGTAAGAGAAGATCCGCCACTTCAAGTGACGGATTTCCTTAACCACGATTAACCTAACAGTATTTTGGGACTTATTTATTTAATTAGTATTATTCCGGAAAAAACTCTATTCATTAATTTATATTATCGTCAAAATATTTATTGTGTCAATTTTATAATGCAATTATCCAATACCATTACATGGTTATACATTGTAATTTGCCGTCATTGGGCCCGTGTCAAACAAGCATAACGGTCAACACGTGACACGCGCTAGACACGAGTGACCGACTATGTCTGAACCAAAACGTCAAGATCCAGGCAGGGTCTAAAAACACGGAAATGGAAAGATAGTCAAGAGGGAAGGGGAATCGTATTCCGTGGGTAGGGACGTGAAGAAAAAGAAGGAAATCATACAGTTGAGAGTGGCGAGCATAATATGACATGAGATTGCGCTTCTTCCTCGCTTCCTTTATAATAATCGTTTTTGTGTACCTATCGTCGTTAACGCTCCAATCACATTCCTGCGCTCACCGACAAGAGGCGGCAGGCTTTTGCCACCAGGAAACGGAGAGAGAACATCGACTGAATCGGATGGCTTCTTCGACTCTAGGAGGGGTTCAGGATTCTGGATCCGCAGCGAACAGCGTCGAAATCGAGAGCCTCGGGCGGTTCGCCGTCGAGGAGCATAATAAAAAAGAGGTACTCCGTAGTTTAGTTGTTTTTCTCAAAATTAATTTCACTGTAAGCTTTCATCCTTCAGCAGTTCGGTGTGAAGTGTGAACTTTACTTAGGGTTCCATGCTTTGTGACGGTCGCTGCTGATTAGCCGGGATTAATTCGCCTGGCTGCTTTGCTTTTTTTTCTTTCATTCCAGAATGCGATGATCGAGTTTGTGAGAGTGGTTAAGGCTAAGAAGCAGGTTGTGTCTGGGGAATTACACCATCTTACCCTTGAGGTGATTGATTCGGGAAAAAAGGAACTTTACGAGGCCAATGTGTGGCTAAAGCAGTGGATGAATTTTAAGGAACTTCAAGCATTTGATCATGTTAAAGAGATTCCCATCTTCACTGCTTCTGATCTGGGTGCCAAGAGAGGTAACATACTCTTTCTGTTCTGAAGAGAGGTAGTATTTGATTTGACATTTCAAGATTTGTTTTGGAGCATTTGACTGTATACTCAGTGCAAGTTAATTTTAATGTGACCTAAATTTGCTTCTATTTTTTACGGAGTATATTCTATGCTGTATTGCACATTTCGATTGAATGATTTAATCTACTAATGTGTCTGGTGTTATTATGTATTATTGGGTCTTGGCCGTCTTGCTAGTCAAAGGCCACTTTATTTTGTCATCTTCAGTCTCTCTAATCTCTATGATACGCTTTAGGTGAATGTTCACTCATTTTTAGTGAAAATCACTTGCCTCAGAGAGAGAGAATGCTAAATTGCTAACACGTGTGATATGATTTTCCTTTTGGGAAAAACGATTAATGTAATTTAATTCACTTTCAAGTCATATTAACATCTGTGTTTTATATCCTTCTCATATGATCTATATAGTCTCTCAATAATGTTGAGATCACCAAACTTTACTTCCGTTAAATAGTTTATCAAAATATTATTTTCATTGATTTTTATCTCTTCATTGTCAAGAATGAACCTCTGACAGTGTAACTAATGGAAGATGGCCAGAATTCTTGAATATGGCAGCCTTCTGTCTGTAATAACCACCAATTTACATCACTAAATTTTGAATCTTATCCCTAATGTGTGTTTCAGTAGTCATTTTCGTTCCCTCAAGTCATATTATCGGTTTCCACATATCTCGAGTTCAATCTGTCATGCAATTTTGTAAACTTATGACTTTGCACCATGGGCTTCTTCTCTTGCTTTTCCTTAGGTGACACATTTTAGAGCGTGTGGCTTCTCGGTCTATTGTTATCTTATTATACCTACATCTTGGTTACGTCTACATACAATGTTTATTTTTGTGCTAGTATTACTTTCTTTGATATCCACTACTTTTTTTGAAAGGTTTGATATTCAGTACTTAATAAGTTGTGTTCACATACATGATAAATTTATATTTTTCTCTCAGCAATCCATAATAGTTTTGATTCCCGAATTTCATTTTTTTCATGTATTGCCGGTATTGTATTCTATCCTTTCTGGCATTCCTATATAATTTTAAAATCATATCAATGTATCTAAAATCAATATTGACTTTGTGTATAGAGGGTCCAGGAACAGGACTGAAATCAATCCCAGAAGATGATCCGTTTGTCCTGGAAGCTGCAGAACATGCTGTTAAAACTATCCAGCAAAAATCCAATACTTTAGATACTTATGAGCTTCAAGAGATAGTTCTTCCAAAAGCTGAGGTATGTGGTTAGTGAGTTGGGTCCTGTATATCATATTTCCTATGCAGTACAGCAGTAGTGAAAATCATAAAGTTTTTATAATTGTTCTGTGCATTAAAATAGTTAAAAAGGAGAGCGGGAAGGAACTAATGGGATGGAGTGAGTAACTTTTAAGGTGCTGGGTTTACTTGTTGGTGAATAATAAAATATTTGAGATTGTTTTTCTTCAATAGCACTGCACCAACTTTGCCAATAAAAACATCGAATTAACACAACAGGTTATGGATGATGCTTCCGCAAAGGTTCAAATGCTTATCAAGACAAAGAGGGGAAGTAAAGAGGAGCAGTTTGATGTTGAAGTGCACAAGAAAAATGATGGCAAATTGAGCTTGACATCACATAAAAGGCTCGAAGACTAACTGAGTTCTGATTTTGTCGAAGGTGTTGTTGTTTCTTTTGCATTTCAGGGAGTTGATGAACGTTCTCTATTGTGATGTGTTCCGTGGAGTTGAGAAACGTTCTCTTTTGTGCTGTGTATAAATAATATGATACCAATATGACACCCTATGTGTTACGTCTGTATTATGTGTTGTTTGTATAGAAAACACTACTTGGCCAGTTGGCCCCCAGTTGATGTTATCAGTTGGCTTATCTACTCCTATAAACTTCGTTATATATATTTACTCTTTTGTTAGTCTTATATACTCGCATACCAAATTTCACTTCTTGAAGGAAGAATTGACAATTGAGCAAAATTTATGATAGTGGAGTCGAGTTTGAACATCTAAAGCTCGAGTTTGGTTCGATTTAGTGATAGTAGTGTTTGAGTTTGAGCTCAAAGCTTTACAAATGAGGTCAGTTTTGGTTTGATAGATGTTTGATTTGAGCACTGGTAAGCTTGCCAAATATGCTCGAATAGCATAAGCTTGTTAATAGGACCGTGCTTGACTTACTTGGCAAGTACTTGATTTGTTAATCCCTCTCAAGATATTTGAATTTAGAAGTGTATATAATTTGTCTCTAATTGTAGATGTTCGACAGGTTTGAACATAATAGAATACTGCTATGCGGGCTTGAAGATTTTTTTGGAAACAAGGGAATGCTTTTTAATGAAAATCAAAAGGAAAATAAGAAACAACAAAAAGGAGAAAGAAATAAAGATAAAAGTAACACCTGTAGTACAAGTAAAAATCTTGGGGTTTTTACCTAAATATTACTAAAATAAAGATAATTTCCAAAAATGTGATCACATTAACATTAGAACAAAAATGTAACTAAAAAGGTCATATTCATATCATTTACAGAGTTTAATGTAACAGTCCAATTTTAATGTCACTATCAAATGTCATTGTCGCCACCGTCGATGTCACTGTAGTAGCCGACCGTGTCACTGTAGCCGCCGCCCATGTCACTGTAACCACCGTCCGTGTCACTGTAACCACCGGCCTTGTCACTGTAGTCGCCGCCGCCGCAAGCCACAGTGACACTGCCACCGGCACCACCCAGTTACCGCCGCCAGCACCGCTTCATCCAGCCCCCAGAGACCACCGGCCCCACACCCAGTGTGCACCATCCCCATTGCCCCTCCTTGCTGCAGCCACAAATCTGGCCGGCCGCCACCAGTGTACCCAAATCACCACCGACCGACCACCAACCACCACTGCCCAACCTCGGCCAGCCCCTCCCAGCCCCAACAAACCTCTTCTCCGACCAACTCCACCACCTCCAGCCATCCAATCCCCGCCGCACGCCAACTCCGACCACCCTAACCAGCCCAAATCTACCCCTCCCTGCCCCACCTTTGACAGCCCAAACCATCCCCGACCACCGGCCAATGAGCCATAGTAGCCGCCCTCCCCCCAGATCTGGTCGCTTCCTGGTCGGCGTATCAAATCTGAAGGACGACAAGGCGGAGAGGCGTCAAATCTGAGCTCGCTGTCATCACATGGCGAAGCTCTTCGCCGAATTCATGAAAATCGTAGCCTTACGCAAAATATTGCGACGGATCAAAGATTGAGGCACCTCACATCCTCACACTATGTCTCAGTCCTCAGACACCTCTGCGCCACCTATACGACGGCGGTGATAGAGCGACGAGACGGAATCACCGTCTCTAATGGTGAACCCTAGCCCCATTTGTAATCGCCCTCGTCAATTGCCTTCGTAATAGATGATGTAATCCTCGCTCGTCATTGTCAGATCTCCACCATCGCCTGGCCGCCGCCATTGCAGGTTTTGAGATTCATCGAAGAAGAAGAAGAAGAGAGAAGAAAACAGAGACATACATGCGATGTTCGTACAACAGGAAGACGGCGGCGGCGTGGAGAGAACGACGTGAAGATGGCGGCGGCGACGTGAAGAAGGTAATATCCTGCAGATGGGTGTGGCTGATGGAAGAAGCAAGGCTGGTGTGATGTATCCAAAGTGACGAGAGAGAAAAAGACTAAAATGAATTAGGGCTGCAAGGTATTAAAGTCAGTCCACACAATTTCAATAACTTTTTTGTCCAAACGAGATTCTGGTCATAATTTTGTCTATAATAACTCTAAAAGTGATATCCATGCCATTATTTCAAAAATCTTCTGTATAAAACAATGAGTTCCATCAAATTATCAAGAATGCGTACGTGATTGGGGATCTCATCTTCACGAGATGCTATAGTCGGTGTATTTTCCTGGACACTTTCATTTGAACGTTGTGGTTGTGTGTTGGCAAACAATTTTTCTTCATGACAGGCAGGTCTTGTTGCAAATGTCCTAATATGTGTTAAAGTCTCATAGATCCTCAATATTTGCAAATGTCCTAATATGTGTTAAAGTCTCATAGATCCTCAATATTTACAGTAAGAGCTCTATTCTCGCTCTTCAAAGCATGATCAGGAAATTCATCTTCTGAATATAATAATATTTTCTCAAGAAAAAATATCATCACAATCACACCTTGTAGATCACTAATTACTTATAATCGCATCACTTTGAGGGTTTACCACTCGGTAAACACATTCTTTCATCCAGTCTCTTGTCCAAAGTGTTCTCCCAGCAAGAGACAACAATTCTTTCTAACACTGATAAAAAAATGAGAGAGTGAGTCCACCCCATTTAATATAATAGCCTGAAAAAGTTACTTAATGTTTGCAAGGGAAGTTGTCTGGTGAGAGTTCAAGACTAATATGTTTCTTGAAAGATTTCAACATCAGAAATTTCTCGCAAGTGATAGATTGCTCAATATCAGCTTGAAACAATGATCTAGAAATAAAGATGTTGGGAATCATCTCGATTCGTCAAGGGAGTGGAGAGATCTCAATCGAAGTTAGAAATCACCATACATTAAGTGCATGTTTGGCGGGCATAAGTCTCTGGCTACTAGCTTTTGTACTATTTAAAAAGTCTCTAAAAGCTTCTAGTTATATGTTTGGCATGACAAATTACAAGAGCTTTTCAAGAAATAAAAGATCTTTTTTGAGATGCTACACGGAGTAGCATCTGAGAAAAGTATGTGCCTTTTAGTATTAATTAGTCTTAAAACCTTGTATGCCAAACCGAACTAAATCTAACAGTCAACTTTTTACCAAACAGTTACCACCTTTTTCTTTTAAGATCTTTTCAGTCACTAAAAGCTAATAGTTACTAAAAAGTTTACAAAAGTATCTTTTCAGCTAGTTGTGCTAAACATACCCTAAGAGGCCCCGCAATAATCATGCTTAATCTTATGAGTTGGCTATTTAGCGACAAGTCCCTCCTCATCAATTCCATTGCTCGTCTAATCCCTGTCAGAATATATTTAATCATTACATTTCAACATTCTAGTATAAATAAAGAATCACGTATTTTCTTGATTATGCGAAATGACCCGTTAAAAAACTTAAAACTCGATTAAGGGTTAAAAGTAGGATTCTCTTCATCAAGTCACATTCTTACCACTCTTCCTCAAGTCACACTTTTACCACCTTACCGGGGCTTAATATTTGATGGCCTTATACCAAATATACTTTTTTTTGGAAGATGGAGGCTTACATTGATATCACATCATTAGCATTTAGAAAGAAGTTAAAACGATATAGGTATCACAGACAATCATCAGCGCTCGAACCAGACTTAGAGTTAATCACCTTCAAACAAGCAATATAACTCGTTGATCCTATAATGGGCTTACATGAGCCAAAGACGGTTGAAACAGACCTGCCATCTCTCAAACTAAATGCAAGAGTCTTACGATCTTAAATCAAAATAACAAAATAGTAAACAGTCTGATTAAAGAAAACAACAACTAAAAAAGCAGAAATAAAATAGTTCTTCTCCAACTTAAAGTGCCACACCATAAGCCAACCAAACGATCTATCCAGCATCCTCCAACAATCTGGTGGGCCTACTGGCTGAGATCCGCCTCCTCCCTATTTTTTTGCTTGTCAGGTGCCATGTCCTCTCCCGCTGTATCCTCTTGGTCCTTCTCCTCCCAGATTCTTCTGCGCTTCTGCTTGCCCGAAACCTCTTCCGGGCTCACCGATTTCCCTTCCTTAATAGAGCTAGCTCCAGTCCCTATAGTAGCCTCATTCCAGTCATGCCCTCCTGTGCCCTGACTATCACTCCGATGCGGTACTCCCAGCTTTAAGTTGAACTCCATATGTTTTATCAAAAGTGATGTTATCCCTCTCATAATACACTACTGGACAAAACTTATCAGAATGCCCGATAATCCCAGAAAACAAAAATTAGGGAGTTTTTCATACTTGAAATCCACCCACTAGCTAATACCCCCTTTTTCAGGCTCGTTCCTTTTTTCCGGGGTCTCCTAATATCCATACGGACCCTAATGCGCATAAAGGCCTTTCATTTTTCATCAAACTGACTTTCATCAAAGCTAATAAAATTTCCAATGTAGTTACCAATTCTCCTAGCATATCCTAGATTCATGAAACCATACGCCACATTATGAACCTGAACCCAAAATTCAATCTCATACAGATTGATTTGAAGAGGAATATCCTCCGCCTTAATTTCTTTAGGATCAGCAGGTTCCTTTCAAACAACCACGGACCTTCATCTAACACACGTCTCATATCCAAATTGTGATAAAAAGTAAAAATGTACATTTTCTCACCAACTTTATTAATGGACACGCCTTTGACTGGCCTCCACATAGATGTCATCAGCTCCTTGAATATCTGAAATTTAATCGTCTGATCCGTGAGCACCATACCGACCACCGAGAAGGCCACCTTCCCATCTCTAGTCGTCTGCCCTTCATCTTCATCATCATCGAAGATGAACTCCTCTTTATCCTCTCCAATAGCCATCCGTTTGTATTGATTTACAATATCATCCAGCAAAAGCAAAACTCCTTTGCGTCTGTGAAGCCCGACCCCTCGATGTCCCTGCCATCTTCGAAGCGCAATTGCTTCACTATTGCATCACGACCGCTACTCACCAAAGGAGAACAGCAGCGAACCTCGCCCCAATACGCCTAGCAAAACAGTCCACCTTACGGTGGCCGTTCCTCGATGAAGCGATAGCGGAAGAAAGCAAATCTAGCGGCGGAACGCCCTAGAGAGAAGTGCGTAAAATAAAAATGGCGGCGAATGAATTAGAAAGAAGAAAGGAAGAGAAAGGGAAGGAAGAAAGAAAAAGAAAATAAAATATTTGACATTTATTCCAAATATACTTAGAAAACTATAACTTGATTATAGTTTCAAGTAATAAAGATTTAAAGTTAAAAGTGGGATTTTCTTCCTCTAAAGTATAACTTG